GAAGCCTCAGTAATTTAACAAAGCCCTACGCAACTTACAATGATCATCTCAAAACAAAAAGCTAAGGGCTGGGTTGTAGCTCAGTGGTAGAATGCTTGCCTAGCACAGGTGAGGCACTGGGTTTGATCCTCAGCACCACATAAAAATAAATAAATAATTAAAATAAAAGTGTAAAAATAAAAAGCAAAAAGGGATGGGGATGTAGCTCAGAAGTTAAGTACCCTTGGAGTCAATTCACAGTGCCAAAAAGAAAAAATGATACATTACATGAAATGACTATAAAACAAGTTACTGAAATTTAAAATATTCATTTGATTATTACTTTTCAACAAAATCTGTGTTTGGAGTTAAATATGTATGTATGAAACAAAAAGTCTAGGACCTAACCCATCTCTAAGGTTTGGTTTTTTATCATCCTCAAAGCTGAAAAGCTTGCTTTACAAATGGAAAAAAATATTAATATTTCTACTGTCCCTTGGCTTAGTGGTTACAGCTGTTATAACAGAATACCATACATTGGGTGGACTTAAACAAAAATAAAGTCTTAAACCTGAAAGTGAATATGTAGTTTTTTCTTCTTTGGAGTATATTAAATGGATATTTGTTGACTCACAAAAGAATTAGTAAACTTCATATTTCCCAAACACAAGTTTGCTTATAGCAGATAGTATATATTAAGTACTTGAGAGTTTGCTAAGTGTTCAGAAATTAGTCATTTGTTCATATATTTATGTCTAAAATGATAAAACAAACAATAAAATTAAATTTAAAAATTATGCTGAATGAAACAAGCAAGACCTTCTCCTATCCATCCCAAGAGACAATCTGTATGATTCCATATATAGAAAACTATAGGAAAAAAAACTAATTTATTGACAGTAGATCAGTGGATGCCTGGGAACAGGCATGGTAAGGGAAGGGTGGGTGGGGAACAAAGAACTAAAAATATGATGTCCTGGGAATGTAGTACTAATAATATTTAATAGTATCTGGTTAATATAAAGGACCTTTTGGATTATCACTAAAAGAAAGCAAATATATAGGTTAATTAACATTTTAACATTTTAAATTCTTGTAAGTAACTTATTGATATAGCACTTGGAAAATTCCTGGCTTTAAAAAAATTTCACTCTGTAATAAAACTGTGGTTACAAGGGAAGAATCCATGTTAAAAATCTCAAATTGCTAAGGAAGACTCTAAGCAACTGCCACTTCAACACTGATCTAAAGAGATACTTGGGAGCCACTGCTTATTATACTCCATGCAGAGAAAATATATATATATTTACTACAAGTTCATGAAAGATCAACCTTCTTTAAGCAGGACAAATCATTGTTTTCAGACTAAGAGAAACTTTCTAGATGGGCCTCAATGGTTACTACAAAGTGCAGAGGTGATAGAAGGAAAATCCACATATTAATAATGAGATAAAAGTAGTCTCTCTACTTTCAGACTAAATTATGAACCTCATGTACACTCTTCCACCATGTACTCTGGTCCTGATCTAAGAATTACTTGAGCCAGGCATTATATTTTACCAGCATGGAAGTGTCAGGAGTTTCCTGAGTACTGCTTCAGCAGCCATCATGACCCACATCCAGAGAAACTGTCTTCTTGAGACACTTGATATGAGCTTAGTTACCAGATGAAGAGCTATCCAGAATTCAGGAATTACTATGCTTTATGGTGTAAATATTTGCCAGGCACCACACTAGCACTGGTCAATGACCAATGGCACTGGTACATTTGGGTAGGGATCATAAAAAACAGAAAATGAATTTTTCACCTAGGCTTTTTTCTTCTTCTTTCCTCATTTATCATCTCATAAAAATAAAATTAAAGGCTGGGGTTGTGGCTCAGTGGTAGAGCACTTGCCTAGCATGTGTTAGGCACTGGGTTCAATTCTCAACACCACATATAAGTAAATGAAGTCCCTTGACAACTAAAAAAATATTTAAAAAAAATAAAATTGAAAAGGAATAAAAAGGGCCTAAATTGATACAGACATTTATTATTTTTTTTTAATTTTTTGGTACTGGGTATTGAACTCAGGGGCATTCAATCATTGAGCTGCATCCCCAGGCCTATTTTGTATTTTATTTAGAGAAAGGGTCTCACTGAGTTGCTTAGTGCCTCATTTTTGCTGAGGCTGGCTTTGAACTTGACATCTTCCTACCTCAGCCTCCTGAGCCACTGGGATTACAGGCATGCACCACCACACATGGCTGATATAGGCATTTATGATCCCACAAAAAGCACAGAGCTATGGGATTCTCCCATGTATCATCATTGAAGAACTCATTAATTCTGTTGCTGAGCGTTCTTGCCCCATTTTACAGAGAAGCTTGGCTGCAGAGAGCAATTCCGTGTCTTATCCACCTGTACCCCTTCACATGGAAAGTAGGTCCAGGACACCCGGAGCAGGACATCACACTGTCTGAGGACAAGAGGGTCCCCCATCTCTCTCCTCTCAAGTCAGCAAAGCTATGAGTCCCAGATCAGGAATGAGACAACTTGCGTCTGGGATCCCTTCATCTCCCCACACCCCAGAGAGGCTCAGCCCTCACCACAAGGGCACCCACACCCTCCATTAAGTCCAAACACCCAGAGGTGGTAGGCTGCTTTCCAAGTTGGTTGTGTCTCCTTTGGAATGTTGTCACAGTAGCAACCACAATGCACCAAATGTTCCTATTCTAGGAAAAAGCCTTCCATGCAGACATTCCCTTCTGTCCCCTTATCTCTCTCTTCAGTCAAAATGCCTTCACCCTTCAGGGAACCCAAAACAATATACTAATGAGAGAATCTAGGCAGGAATACAGGAAATTGTGAGCATTCCTCCCAGGTTGTTGTAACAAAGTATGTATTGTATTGGCTTTAAAAATGACCTCAAAGAAGTATCATCAGGGGCTGGGGCTGGGGTTCAGCGGAAGAGAGCTGGCCTAGCATGTGCAAGGCACTGGGTTTGATCCTTAGCACTATATTCAAATAAAATAAAGGCATTCTGTCCATGTACAACTACAATTTAAAAAAAAAAAAAGAAGTATCATCAGTACACAGAGACCCAAGGATGGATGTCTCCTAGGGGCTCTTGGAGTTGAGCCAGCTTTCTAAGGGTAACATGAAAAACTCATATACCGTGTTATGCAGTTAGTCATCTGAGACAGAAAACTCAGACTTGTATAATGGTACAAAGTCACACTGTAAAATATATTTTGTGAATTCTAACCACCCCTTAAAATCTGAGAAAAGGAGTCTACAGTAGCTAGCAAAAGATTCTCCTGGATGCCATTACCTTGGGATAAAAAATGATCTATTTGTTAAATTCTTCAGCAAGTAGGATAGAAATTTACATTGTTAGTAAATAAGAATGAAGAAATTATATCTGAAGACTAGTGTATATGGAATACCTCTTTTAATTACTGAAATAAAAATATTCATGTGATTACTATTTACTTATTCACTTTCTTTCTCATTATTGACATTAAATATGTAGGTACAAAAAAAAATACCTAGGACCCAAGCCATTACTGTGGTTTGGTTTTTATCATTATCAAAGCCCAAAAGCTTGCTTTATAATAGGGAAAAATATTACTATGTTATCATCCCTTGGTTTAGTCAGGGCTGCTATCACAGAATACCATAACTGGTTGTTTTAAAGAACAAACATTTATTTTAATAGTTCTGGAGGCTGGATAGTTGGAGTTCAAGGTGGACGCAGTATTTTTATTTAGCAAAGGCCCACTTCCTAGTCTGCATATACTGTCTTCTTGTGGCATCCTCACATGGCTGAGTGAATGACAGATATTTCACATCTCTGTTCTTATAAGGCTACCCCATGACCTCATGTAAACCTAATTATCTCTTAAAAAGTTTATACATACAAATAATATCCAACTCTGCAGTAGGGCTTCAACATATCAATTCAGAGGGTGGAGACAAATTTATTCCCTCCATATAGTATCCTTGGGGGGGGAGTTTAATAACTCCAAATTGTTTTATTCATTTGTAAAATATTTATTATTATCTTAAATTTGAATATAAACCTATTAAGTGCTTTTCCTTCAGTGTATATAAAATGGATATTTAGGTGTTTGACAAAAGAACTGGTAATCCCCTGTTTCCCTGTTTCCCATACATAAGTCTTCCTCTAGTGGATAGTACATACTGAATACTCAAGAAATTCTTTCTCACATATTCAGAAATAATGCTTCTGCTGATTCATATATTCATGGCTAAGATAATTTTAAAAACTAAAACAAATATATAAGCTGAATAAAATAATCCAGATCAAAAAAGTAAAAGCAATCTGATTCCATTCATGTGGAAGTATAAAAATCAAAACTAATCTGTTAATAAAATATTAAGTTGTTGCTGGGGATAGAGCATGGTAAGGAGAGAATGTTCTGAAAATGTGATGTTCTGGGAATATAATTATAGTAGTACTTAAAAGCATCTGGTCATTTGAAATGTTACTGGGTTTCACTATGACAGAACAAATACACAAGTAATTATTTAAATGTTTTTAAAATTCTTAAAAGTGACATTTTAAGCTAATACTTAGAATATTTCTGACTTAAAAATAATCATTAGACAATAGTTAAAACTGTAGCTACTTGGGAAGCATTCATGTTACAATCTCAAATTGCTAGAAAGAGCTTCCTTGTAATCAATTACATATTTCCACACCCATATGAGAGATATATGAGATTTGTTGATTATAATAGCCAGAAAATATATTTATATGTGTGTTAAACAGTGTGTACCTTAGGGAACTATTCATTACTTTCTGACAGAGAAAAGTATCTCTAAGATGGGCCTCAGGGACTACTACAAAGTATGGTACCTGCTGAAGGCAAATTCTACCTGCTAAACCTCTTCAAGGATAAGATCAAAGTAGCTTCTCTACTTTCTGGCCATTCTGTGAACCTCATGTGTGCTAGTCCACCATATACTACTGTTCAAATCTATGAACTAACTTGAGCTAGGCATTATATCTTACCAGGGATGTAAGTGTCTGGGGTCTCCTGAGCACTGCTACCCTTCAGATCTGGAGTAGAAGCTTCAGCAGCCATCATGACCCACAACCTCAGAAACTATCTTCTTTAGACATCTGATATGAGCTCAAACACCAGATGAAGAGCTGTCCAGGAAGATACAGAATCCAGAAATTACTATGCTTTATTGGAATAATTATATCCGTGGAACCATGCTAGGCACTGAAGTGAGCATTACTGATCCCAAAATAACCACAGAGCAATGGGGCTTACATGTGTGTTATCACTAAAGGTCCCAGCAATCCTGTAGCTGAGCATTCTTGCTCCCGATTTACCCAGGGCAAACTGGGTTCAGAGAGCCATTCCCTGTATTATCCTTCTGCACCCCGCCTTTCACAGAAAGTAGGTCTAGGGCACAAGTAGCAGGACATCACTGCTGCCTGAGGCCAGGTATGTCTCTCATCCCGCTCCCCTCCAGCAGCTGGGCACCAAATCCCAGAGCGCGAACTAGGCAACTGGGGTGTGAGGTACCTTAGTCTTCCCACACCGCCCAGGGAGGGTCAGCCCCCACCGCCAGGAACCTACACCCTCTGCTGACCACTCCTGAAGGCGGGTCAGGCATTTTCTCAAGAAAGCAACTCCGTCTCCTTCAGAATGTTGTCACTGTCGCCACAATGACATCACGTTTCTATGGCAACCACAGTGCACAGAACCTGCGCAGGAGGGTCCTGCGCACCAGAAATCCTCTGGGCAGGCCTCTTCTTTGTCCCCTTGCCCTTATCTAAAAGCAAAACACCTTAACTCTTCCGGTCGCCTCCTGAGAAACTGTAATAATTAGAGGAACTAGGCTCAGACTCAGTCTCAGGCAATGGGAAAAACTCTGTCCACTCTTTCAGAGGAATTCAACTCCTTAAGGAGGTACAGGACACCCTGGTCCACTCTAAGTACAAATTTGAAAAAGGAATAAGAAGTGGCCTAAATTCATACAGACATTTAAGATCCCTCAGTTATCACACATGCTTCCTTTGGCCAAGAGAGTCCCACATCTCTCTCCCCCTCAAGTCAGCGGGGCTCCGAGTCCCAGAGCAGGAACGAGGCGACTTGGGTCTGGGATCCCTTTAATTCCCACACCCCAGGGAGGATCACCCACCACTGCAGGGCACCCACACCCTCCGCTGAATCCAAACACCTGGAGCCAGGACGCTGCTCTGGAATCAGAGCAGTCTTCCTTCTGTTTCCTTGTCTTCCTTCCAGTCAGTCTTCCTTCTGTTCCCTTGTCCTTCCCTTCACAATTTAGGACTCCTGAGAAAACATAATAATGAGAGAATTGTGGAATTGTACTGGCTTTAAAAATTATCTTAGAAGAGTATCATTAGTACACACAAACAGGGATGGATGTCTCCTAGTGCTCTTGCAATTGAGCTAGCCTTCTGAGAGGAACATATAAAACTCACATACCATCCTATGTAGTTTGCCATCTGTGGCAGAAACTCAGAGGCTGTCCATAGTCATGGGTCTAAATGAACTAGGGACACCAAAAATGACATTCAAGTTATATCTGGGATGCAGATCTATAATGATATATGCATTTATCGGGCAGAATCCTAGTCAAATCAACTGTTGAGAGCCACAGCCGAAGGGGCCCCAGAAAACTTCCAGCTGCCAGCAAACTTCCAGCTGCCAGCAAGCTGCGGCAATCAACCATACAATAGTTTATTCTGGGGAATTCTTATCCTCCATTCCTGATATTTTCTTCCACGTGGAGGAGCATCCATGACTAAAACACATCTAAACTCTGTACACATCCACTCCTGTTGTATGGCAAGAATGATTCACATGATGGCTGAGACTATAAAGAGAAACAGGGAGCCCACAATCCAGGCCATCCCTTTAAGTCTCTTGATGATAGGGACAGACAGATGTGTGTGCTGGGAACATGAGGTTAAGAGACTAATTCTATAAAATGGGTCTAATGTGCTTGACCCCCATATGCTTTATTTTCGCAGAAGCAATTTACCTGTAGCCCTGCCTGGCTTAAGTGGACAGGATATGTCACATTCCTTAGCAAACTACTTATTATCTGCAGAAGAAATGCAGGTCTGAAATGATGTCCATGAGAAGAATGCAAGCTAATCTGAAGTGGGGGGACTTCTGTGATCTTTATAACACCAGATTCTGGAACTCAGGGAGATAAGGTGAATCCAGTTGGAACCAGGCAGCATGGGCCAAAATGACCTCTTGTTGTCATGGCAGCAGAGACTTGAAAGTCTGATATTATTCTACTGTCAGTCAAAAGTCAAAAGGTGAACCTTGGTGGGACTCTCTGGAAACTTCTTTGTGATCCCTCAATAAAACTGGAGTGCAAAAGAGGCATGATATCCATTTATTAAGAGGACCTGCTCGCTCCCTTATCCCCTTTCCCATCTATTCTAATAAACTGATGCCTGTTAATATGAGGGACATGTCTGAAATAATCCTGGCTTTTATGCAAGTATTGGGTTTAGGGGAGGTCTTTGAACTGCCTTGCTTTCCCAGAGACCCCATCCCTGCAACATTGTTAGTAAGCAGCCCCTTTAAGAGCATGTTTCTGTTCTGCTCTTCAGGGGTGGCAGGCCCACAACTCCTCTCTTTCTGTGTCTGCCGACTCCCTAACTATTCCTATGGTGTTGCTTTTAAAGGCTCAGGTCTTTAAGGGGCCACTAAATACTCTCCTTGTCAAGTCTGAGCTTTCCACCAACTGCCATGGTTTAACTGTGCCTTCTCATAGGTGCGAGTCCTTGAGTTCTTAGGAGAGGATTGCTATAAAGGAGCAAGCCCAGCCCATGCAGCTCTCTGCTTCCTTGTTCCAGGTGTAATCTTGCTCCTGCACATGCTCCTGCCACTGCCATCTGCCATGGGACCTTCACCAGTTCTAATCTACTACAAGTGTTGTGCATTCAACTTCCAAAACTGTGAGCTAATTCACCTCTTTCTCCTTATAAGTGGCTTGTTTCTGGTGGCTGGGCTCAACTGGGCATTTTCTGCTACATGTGGTGTCTGTCATCTAGTGCTGCTGGCATCTGGAGGCTCCACTCATCTGTTACATCCAGAGAGCTCCCTGATGTGGATGATGGCTGGTCCTGGCATCTGCTTTGAATCCATCTAGGGCTACTGGTTGCATGGAGCACATTGGTTAAACAAAGAGCTCTCCCTATGGAGGGTTGCCTGATGAAAAAGAGGAAACACAGTTAAATATGAATTCTGGATAAAGAAGGAATAGTTTTAGTGAATGCGGAATGAAATGTGATTTTATCTGAAATTCAAATTCAACTAGGTATCTTTTATTTTTATGTGCTAAATCTGGCAACTATAGTGGATAAAGCCTGTGAATATGCAAGTTTATTAACCTTCTGAGAGCACTCTTGCAATCTGGCAGGACAGGGGAAAACAAGCAGATCGGATTGGCACAAAAATCAAAAGCTGGTAGCACTTTTTCTTGGTGGAATAAAGAGGCAATGGATACACTACTGGTGGCAAATGGGTATATCAGTTCTCTAAGGCCCATATTGTTATGATGTCATTTATTAAATAGCCTTAAATAAAGAAGTATTAGCTTTACCAACAGGGGAGGATTGGGAAGGGCATGCCAATGTGATTGAGACCTGCCACTTGGTCAAGAGGATTTGCATGACGGGACTCAAGGAGCCATATGAGTTTCTAGCTCTAGAGAGAAAATAAGCTAGAGCTTAGGAGCAGATTTTTAACTGAGCCCAATGCTACACTCTTAGGGTATATGGATGCATGTAATCCTCGTGACGGGTAGCACCCTCTTTAGGGACGTGTGTGAATACAAAGAATATACTCCTAACAAGAGTAGATGACAAAGAGGTTGTTCATCTCTGGTAGAGGCCTACTACCCAGATTCAGGGAGAGAACCTGCCAGCCTGGGCACCTTGAGTTGCTGGTGGCAGGTCTGCAGCAAATGTGTCAGGACTCACATTGTAGAAGAGGTTAATCTCTGTTACCCCTGTGTTTCCTTTCCCCGCAGCAGAGAACCAAGCATGGTGCCCCTTCCCTTTTCCTCAGTGGAGGTTTATGGCAGGGCTGGAGACAGAAGCTGTCTGAAGGCAATGTTTCTTCCACCCTTGAAAGAAACATGAACTTAAAGGAAATAATGAGCTACTGGTATGTGGTGGAGAGGGGTAGGGCCTCAGAAGACACAGATAAGGGAGAGAAAGGGGAAATTTCTCCCAGACAGGGATGAGTGGGGAGGTCTGAAGGTCTCTTCAGGAGTATGTACCTGAGCACTGCCCCATATCAACACTTGTGGTGACTCTGTGGATGGTCCATCTCAATCATGAGGCAGATTTTCCTGTTTGACTGAAGGGATGGCTGGATGTATTAACTATTTCTCCTTATTTACTGCATACTTGATGATATGGCATCTGAGTCCTTGCTTACAAGAGAAGGAAAGCCCTTCTGAGTTAGCTAATTCCTGGAGCTAGAACATAACTCACATGGGAGTGTGCCTTTCATATATAAACCAACACAAACAGGCCTTCCCTCAAGCATATATATGGTATTGAGCTTTTAAACTGCAGGCCAATAATTTCCTGTCCTAATCACCCTAGTGACTAAAACAGAAAAATCATGACAGCTCCCCACCCCACAGCCAAAAGAAATTAAATGTAGCCAGCCCTAAACTTGTATACTTTGATTTCAGTCCCTTCCTGATGAACTTAACATAATAATGTCCTTATCTCCTGTTCCCTCTGCCTCCTGACTTAAACTAGTGCTTCCCTATGTGGACTTATGTTCCCTGTGTGGCTTGAAGATTCTCTCAACTGTGAGAAGCAAACTCTTCTCCACAGCAGAGGTCTTCTGATCTCCTAGGCTTGCCATACCTAAATAATTACTTTTAAAAAACTACATTATAAAACAATGCCTGAGGTATAGGGGGCTTGAAGACTCTGAGTTAGCCAGGGAAGTGGCCTTCTCTGCCCTTATCAGGATGGAACTGAAAGCAAATGAAAGAGAAAGCAAAAAGGAAAAGAAACAAAGACAGACCTCAATGGACTAGCAATTCTTTATTAAGTAGTGGAGGGGCACATTTTCAAGAGGAAAATGGTGACTGGCTACAACAAGAGTCTGAGTTTTATAGGTTTTATCGGGGCCTCATCATGGGAAGAGTTTGTCAGATATTTTTGGCAGGCTTACTTTTGGCAGACAGGGGAACTTTGTCAGATTAAGGAAGTTGCAAAAGGTCAGAGTCCACAGTTTCCTTTTTCCCCCAAGGGGTTGTAAGTATCCACCTACTTCAGGGATAAGTGAAGACAGGGGACTCTTCCTACCACATAAGGAAGGTAAATTCCACAGTTGAGATGGCTTAATCAAAGACCATGGAAATTTAACACCATTAATATACACTATTTAATAAGATTGATCAATTTTTATTAGTGTGCATCAGTACAGGTACTGATGAAATAAAATTTGGGGCATGCTATTAGGAAACACTGGTTTATATGAAAATGTTGAAATTATCTTGCAATTTCACATTTTACCATAGAAATGTGCTACTAAAACACACTACTGATCTCCCTGCAATTCATTTGCTGACTTCTATGAGAGTTTTAGTAGTTTTTTTCTCCTTGCATCCACATCTTTATATAAAGTTTGATAACATAGAGATACAGGTATTTATTCACTGTAATATAAGGAATATAAATTAATCATATCTTGAATTCTTTATATTAGTACAAAATTTTATATTTGCCTGTGGTTTGAAAGGATACTTTCAGGAACTATGTATAAAAATGCTTACAAAAGAGCTGGGTACGGTATAACATCCCTGAAATGGGGAAAAATGGTCATAATAAGAGTAAAGGAAGGGGCTGGGGTTGTGGCTCAGAGGTAGAACACTTGCCTAGCATATGAGAGGCCCTAGATGTGATCCTCAGCACCATATAAAAATAAATAAATAAAGGTATTGTGTCCAACTACAACTAAAAAAATAAATGTTAAAAAGAGTAAAGGTTACTAAGGTAATAAATGTCCTGGTTCTATTTATTCTTATATAAATCTCTAGCTATTCATGAAAAGATCTCAAAGCATAGAACTTTAAATGATCTTTTTGTTCCTCTCACATAGAGCTTTCTCTTCAGCACTTTCCATCTGAAGGCTGTCTGTATACTTGCATCCTGGGAATGTCCCCCTTTCCACATAAACTTCCAGAAAGTTCTGTAGGTAGAGTCTTGGGCCACAGCCTCTCCCTCCCTTCTACCTGCTTAAGGGTGTTCAAGTTGCAGTTCAGGATTCTGTCACCAGGTGGCATCAATGTTCCTCCATCATCAAACCTCTATACAAAGCTGTGGGTGCAAGGAAAAACAAATACAAAAAGTTCAATGAAGACAGAATGTAAATCCAAGGGAGATCGGTAGCAGAAAGGGAACAGGGGGATAGTGGAAAGGAGAGAAAGGGAAAATACTGGGGAATGATATTGCCCAAATTATACTATTATATGTGTGCCAGTAAGAGTACATAACAAATTCCACCATCTGAACAACTATAATGCACCAATTTAAAAAAAAAAAAAACTTGGAAAAAATCACCTTATGAATCTATGTACAGACTGATTCTAATTCTGCCACAGAAACCTAGTAGGTGTAAAAGAAGACTGTGAAGGGCTGGGGATGTGGCTCAAGCGGTAGCACGCTCACCTGGCATGCATGCAGCCCGGGTTCGATCCTCAACACACATACAAACAAAGATGTTGTGTCCGCCGAAAACTAAAAAGTAAATATTAAAAAATTCTCATTCTCTCTCTCTCTCTCTCTCTCTCTCTCTCTCTCTCTCTCTCTCTCTCTTCTTTAAAAAAAAGAAGACTGTGAAGACATGCTCAGGGGCATCTATAACTTGAAACACCAGGAAGCAGTGGTGGGGCTATAATAAAGTGGCAGAAAGGATGAACTACCTGCATCACATCTGGGCAGTTGTGTACATAATGTCCTGGAGTGGGGATGACTATGAGAGCATGAAAGAAGAAGGACTGGGAAGCCTATGTAGGGGTGGGGTAATGGAGAGTGATGGCCCTGTTCTCTGAGAGGGACCCCTCTACAGTGTGAACACCTTAACATACACTGAAAGATCCCTCTTCCAGAGAAATCAGTGAATGACATGTAGATTGGGGTCAACAGCAGATGAAACTATTTTAACATACATATGAACTTTTCAAGAAGAACCCATATCATATTAAACAAATTGTTTTAAGACATGTAATTCTTTGCAAAATATACTCCTTTCATTATAAAAGAAAAGGCAAAATGGAGATAGATCCCATTCATGTATATTTTTATGCGAATTATCTGTTGAACTTGCTTGCAAATCTGTGAGTATATTTTACAAACCATGAACACTAACCCAGTATCTGAGGTGTAGTTTACCAGTTTCTCCCAAGTTTTCATATAATGTTTGCTAAGGAAGATATTTTTTATACAATTTCAATAATATTGTGACTTAAAAATGTAACAGACCATACTTTTTAAATATGGTTGAACATCCCAGGAACATGTAATGTCCACCCCCAGGAAGATTAAATCATTCAGAGCCCAGAGGGCATGAAGACCAAATGGGAAGACTTTATGACAATACAGGAGAACCTGCCCAAAGGAAGATCACAAAGGGTTTTCCTAATTTACTTAAGCTCTCCTGAAGCCAGTACCCTGATGTGAACAATGATAATAATAACAGGAAACCTCTGTAGCAGTTAAGATTAAAGGAGATGAAATAGAGTATTTGTTTTAAGCAGTTTAGTTTACATACTTTCCTTCTTTATAGCTTACTGGTCCCAAGGGCAACAGCTGAGCTGCTTCCTGATCCCACTCATGCTTCAGGGATCAACCATGGCATGTGGCCCTACACCCAGGTATCTTGGCAAAAAGGGCAGGATTTCTTCTCCTATCTCCTCCTCATTGGTTGCTGAGTAGGGCTCATGAGGCCACGATAGCAGAACAGTGTAATCTGAGCTTGTCTCAAGCCCTGGAAAATATATATATATCTGAACTTATAACACATACTATTCCACTAGAGTTGTTTCAGGAGTTCTATGGGCAACAAGAAATGAATATGTGGTCAATTTCAAAGGGCTAAATTATATTTGGAAATTTAGAATATGATCCAAATAGCATTTCAAATCAGTGGCAGTGTGTGCTATGGTGATACCTAGATAGCTATAAGGTTAAAAGAAGCAAAAGTAGACCAATTTCTAAGTTTTTTTTAAGAGAGAGAGAGAGAATTTTTTTAATATTTATTTTTAGTTATCGGTGGACACAACATCTTTGTTTGTATGTGGTGCTGAGGATCGAACCCAGGCCGCACGCATGCTAGGCGAGCGCGCTACCGCTTGCGCCACATCCCCAGCCCAATTTCTAAGTTTTTAATTAGGATAAATTCCAAATGGTATAGATATAAATATCAAAACTAAAACTCTTACAATTGTTAGAATAATCTGGAAACTAGAAGGGGCAAAGAAGAGATTCTCCCCTAAAGCCTCTATAGAGAGCCCAGCCCTGTTGGCATCTATTAGTTGGAGGTGGGGAGAACTTTCCTAACTATGACTTGAAACCCAAGACTATAAGTAAAAATATTGATACAATTGACTATATAAAATAAAAATAACAATACTGCATAGCAAAAATATGATAGCCACTAGAAAGACAATGGGGGAAAATTGACAGCTAACACCTCCAAAATGTGTTGATTTCCTATCTATATAAAAGCTGATACAGAGACATTAAAAATCCCAAACTACCATCAACAATATTTAAAAGGTATAAATAGCAAGAAATTTAAATTATCTTTAAAATTACAAAAGGAGGCACAAACTAACTTTCTTTTTTGGGGGGTGCTGGGGCATCAAACCCAGGGCCTCATGCATGCAAGGCAAACACACTACCTTGGAGCTACATCCCTGGCCCCTCAAACTTTCTTTAAATAAGAGAGATACAACTAAAACTGCAGTAAGATATGATTTTTCAATATTAAATTGACAAAGATTGAAAAGTCTGTCAATACATTCAGTTGGTGAGGATGTGAAATTAAAAAAGTACTTTCTACACTGCCTATTGAGATCAAAATGATATGATTACCATAAAAGGATTAATAATGGCTCCCATTGCTATCAATTACAATTTGTTGAACCTGTAAGTCTTACCTTACCTGATAAAAGATCTTCAAAATGTGATTAAGCTAAACATGATGAAATAGGAAGCTCATATGAGATTGTTGGGTGGGTCTTATAAATAGTCACAAGTGTCCTTAAGAGAGAGGAGAGAGGGAGGCTTGACATTCGTAGAAAAGAAGACAGTATGACTATGCAGGCAGAAATTGGTAAGGGGGCAGCAATAGGCCAAGGAATGCTGGCAGATATGAGAAGCTGGAAAAGGCACAGTGCAGATTCTTCCATGGAGCCCCCAGGAGCATGGCTCTGCTAACACCTTGATTTTGGCCAATAAAACAAATTTCTAACTTCTTCTCTTTCCAGATCTCTGAGAAAATTAATTTATCTTGCTTCAAACAACTAAGTTTGTGGTGATTTGTTACAGTAGACACAGGAAACTAATGTAACTGCCATGAAGGGAAATTTGATAATATCTCCCAAAATTATATATGCTTTTATTCTTTGACTCACTAAACCAATTTCCAGAAATTAAAAAAAAATGTGCATGTATGTGTACTGTCAATAACAGAAAATTGTGGTATAGATACAAATATGAATATATATATGTAATATATATTCACTGTGATGTTATTTTTATTGCAAAAGAATAAAAGAAACCTAAGTATCCAAAGATAAGAAGTACAAGAAAAAGGAAACAACACCCTCATCTTGATCCTAAAATGTGCTAGGAACTATATAGGGCAGACATACTGCTCAGTAATTAACTTTAAGGACACCTTACAATACACATTCCTAGAAGATTCAGCAATATACAAAGTTATATATACACACATACACAAATACATAGACTCAGCCTCCTCATCATCCATGATTCCAAGAATTTTTCTGAGGTTAATTTACTGGGGGAAAAAGTTACAACTTCACATTTTTCACAGATTCAAATATAGCACATATAAAGTTGAAAACTACTAAACTATATTATTTTAGTGGTCAATATTTCAGAAAATGATTTGCAGTATTGTCTCTGGGACATTTTTCTGTCTATTTCAATGTATGGCTAATGATTTCTGAAGATGGTATGGAAATACATGTCCATGCCTATTAAGTATCAAACAGTATCCTACAATAGTATATACTTTCAAACAAAAAGATTCCTCAATATCTATTTTTAAATATTTGTTTTGATGGTTCAGTGAACATATAAGAATTATAAGTGCTATTTAAGAAATAATGTCATTTATAGCAGTACCAAAGTATGAAATATTTATGGATACTCTATCCACATGTGTAAAATATTTGTACACATACCACTATAAAATATTGCCAAGAAAATTAAGGAAGACTCAAAGAAGTGGAAGACAAACGGTATTCATGGGACTCAGAATTATTAAGATGTCTCTTCTCCTCAAATTAATATACAGATTCAGTACAATCTCAATAAAAGTCCTACAAAAAATTAAAAGAAATTTATAAACTGATGTTAAAATCATGTAGAAATAAAAAGGACCTAGACTATAACAAATGACTTAGAAAAAGAACCAAGTTAGAGGACAAACACTACCTGATTTCAAGATTCCTTATAAACCTACAGTAATCAAACTGTGGTTTTGGCATCAAGGTAGGTAAGTATGATACCAAAGCTTGGTCCTTGTCTCCATTGATGATTTAATAATGAGGACAGGTTTTGAGAAAAAGGAAGAAATTTTATTGATTTGTTAGCAAAGTAGAAACACTGGGGACTCCTGTTCCAGAGGCTGATTCTCCCTGCCTGTGGGAACACAGAATTTTAAGGGAGGAACACAAGAACTGGGATACAAACATTATCAGTAGATTTAAGTAATTAGTGTCCAGTGGATGTCCTTGAGAGAGCTGTTGCTCCAGCTCCCAGGTTTGGAGTTGCTTTATTCTTGTGGGCAGTGATATTGTTCATGGTGTGAAGGACATGATAGCTTAGTGTGGGCTGGGAAAAATGTTGGTCTTGTTTCCCCTGCCATTAGGGATGTGGAGAAGATAAAGAAGAAGAAAATGGAAAAATAAGAAAAAAAATATGCCAGTTTTAAAGTGATCCACCTGTGGTGGTGGGGCAGCAGCAAGGTTTACACTCAAAGCATGAAGTGGAATCCTGTTACATCAAAGGAACAGAAAAAAAAATCCAGAAATAGACTCACTCCTGGATGGACAACTAATTTTCAGCAAAGGAGCAAAAGGAATTGAAGGGAGAAAGGAAGGCCTTTTCAACAAATGGTTTTAGCACAAATGGATATCCAAAAATGAATTATGGTACATATACTATACCACATAAAAAACAACTCAAACTGAATCTGACAATTAAAGATAAAACCTAAATGTGTAAGCTGCTGTAAAGAAACACAGGAGAAAATCCTTATAAACATGGGTTAGGTAAAACTTAGATAAGACCAATAGAAGCATCTTAACTTTAAGGAAAGAAAATTATAAATGGTCCTCCTCAAAATTAAACAGTTTTACTCTTCCAAAAACATGATTGAGATAATGAAAAGAGAAACAATGATTGTGAAAAAGCTGGGTACAGTGATGCATGTCTGTAACCCCATGATTCGGGAGGCTGAAGCAGGAGGATTGCAAGCTGGAGGCTAACCTAGGCCTCTTATAAAGACCCTGTCTCAAAATGTTAAAAAAAAATGGTTGGAGATGTAGCTCAATGGTAAAGCATCCATGGGTTCAATACCTAGTACCAAAATTAAATAAAGAAATAAAATGACTTTGAAAAAAAAAGTGTATGAAAGTAATATGTCTGACTAGTAACATATCCAGAAAATTAGAAATCAATAAAAAGAAAAAAGACACAATAAATAAATAGGAAAGCAATGTGAACTTCACCAAAGAATATATATAAATAGCAAGTAATCATATGAAAAGATGTTCAACATCATATATATATATATTATATATATATATATATATATTATATATATATAAAGAATTTATACACAATGAAAGCTCATCATCCATAATAAGATGGATAGATAAAACCAAATTGTGGCATATCTATATAATGGAGTAGTGCTCAGCAATTAAAATAGAAGTAGTTAATCATGCAACAATATGGATAAATCTAAAATTAATAGGTTGAATATAAGAAGCCAGACAAAAGTGAATACATATATGAATCTGTTTACATAAAATTATAAGAAATGCAAAATAATCAACAGTGAGGGAACAGTAGTTGCTTGAAAATGGGGAGGGGTGGGAGAGGCAGGGAGGCTGGAAGGAGATATGTGGATATGAGGATGGCAAAGGGGCAGTAAAACACTTTTTGGGGGGATGGATATATATTTCCTTTGCTGTAGTGTTGGCTTCATTGGTGCATATAGATGTCAATACTTCAGCAAAGACTTTAAATATGCACAGTGAATTACACATGAATCATACATCAATAAAGCATTGGAAATATACTTGTATTCTTCAGAGATTTAGTGAAATACATTTAAATAGAATAATTTCCACTAAGATAATCCTGTCATATTAACAGATAATCACTAGGTCTTTTTGAGTTTTTCATACAACATATGACCAAAATAGAAGCAATCATTTGCAATGAGGTCTATCTCAATATTTAGGGAAAGGTGATGCACATTTCTTTCTGAAGTCTAAAACTGAAATGGTACAACCTGATAAAATAATCATACTGATATTCAGTGTATTTGGTTATTTTAAACAACATAGCTCTGAATTACAATAGGATAAATTCTATTTTAATTAATAGTTTTGAAAATAATAAAAATTATTATATTAAACTAATACTTAGATAATTGTTGGTTTCTACAAAAATTTAAGAATGCATAAAACTTGGCTACCAAGGATGATTCGATTCCATATT